TCCAAGGGTTTAGGAGTTATTGAGGAAAAACGAAATTTTTTGCCAAAAGTTCGCCGTTTCGACGCTGGAATGGTCGGATTTCGTCAACATCAATAAAGTGCCATATAATCATACGTAACTCGTTAAATATCGAAGTTATAAGGAAAACAACTTTTATTTGAGGCATTTTTCGATATTTTGAATATCATCACGCTTGAATTTCATTTCGATTTTGGCAAAACTTAATCAAACCGTGAAATGACATTTTGATTAGCTCCTCGCTATGCAGATCTACCTGCATTTCGTCAACTGTCAGAACAAACAAATTCGACGCTTTCTCCAAGTCAGACAGACCGTACGGATCAGCGGGAAATACATACTTATTTTGACGTAGTGCCAAAATCTGTTGAGAGCTGACTTTGATTTCTCAACCCTATCGCGGATAAGAAGAGCAACCGGAAGGTTGTCTTTGATCAATTCGCCGGGAGTCGATTAGCGAAAACAATTGTTCGCTTTGTTCTGGAATGGCCCATTAGGACAATGGATGGGTTCATAACAAAAATAACTCTTGTAGAAAATGAACTTTCACAAATTCGCGATTTAATTAGACACTGTTTATTTATACATGTACAACAACCATTGTGCAATACAATTAGGGCTTCGTTAAATGAAATAAAATATTACAGCGTATCACAATTTCCCTTGACCACAATTATCATGATAATCATTTTTATATCCATCCGCACACAGGGTTGCTAATAAGTGATTAAATGAACTAAAGATTTCAGAACATCAATTGAGATTAAGACAGAATCAATCCTGGATCAGGTATATTTTTTCAATCGCGTAGGTCGAAGAGAAAATTGGAGAAGTTCAGCAATTAATTAAGGCCTAATTAAGGATGGAAACGAGACGTTTCGGAATCGAGTGGCACGTAGCGTGCAACGTTAACAGACCCGTTCTTCCAGGAAGCGTGAAACACCAGTTTCGTGTATAAATCATGTCGGACGCGGCTGAAGGAGGAAATAAAGAATCCGGCCGGGAGTGAATTAAGGGGTGAGAGACAGAGACTGAGTACAACGGAGGGGGAGGGGGCGAAAGTGTGA